CCAACTGATAAAGATTTTCCCAATAGTCCTGTGTCATCAGTCGAAACAGTGACAAGAAAGCCCAACTGAATGTGTCAAAGCTAGTATATCCATAGTTGGGGTTTTTACCAGCTTTCACACAGATAAACTCTTCTGGGCATTTACTAGAAGAGGGAAACAAAACAAAACAAAAGAGGCAAAACAATCCATACACAAATTTCATATAACACGATTTAAAAAAAATTATTGTTTCTTGAGCTTCTTATGAGGCTTCATCTGTGGATGGTGCTGCTATTTATGGCTTAAAACAATTCAAAGATTAGTGAGGAAATTAAAAGTCTGTTCTTTAAAAAATAATCCAGAGAGTAAAAAAGTGATGACAATATTTCCTTCTATCATCTTTCACAATTTTAAACAAAATAAAATTTTTTATCAACAGTTTGATATTACCTCTGAAAATATCTCTTCAATGAAAATAATAAATGTACTTAATATAGATATTCCAATAGGTGGATACTTCCATGCAGGAAGAAGACAGCCAGCACACATATTTTATGCTTAACTTTGTCAGTGAGGCTGGCATAGCAGATTTCTTGGCTTCTTCACATGCGCATATTTAACAAATTCTACCAATTTGTCAAGAGCAAATAACCAGCACAGGGACACTTTTATCTCAATAAACTTTTCATATTGGTTTTGAGAGTAGGTGATACAATCTTGATATCAAATGTAAGCACACTGTTTCAATTAGGACAGAAGAGCCTCTTGTCCCCAAAACCTCTATAGAAAAACACTGTGAAGATTTCTTTTCACGTACGTGTGCCTGTTTGATGTGCATTTATACACGTACACAAAATTATCTCATAGTTAGACACATGAGTTAAATGTTTACTAAAACAGTTTGAACGTTTTAAAATTATTACCAATCAGAACCAAAGGATGGACTGATACCTCATAAGCATATAGAATGATATGATTTGGTTATATATGATTGCTCTTTTAGGGTTGAGAAATGGCAGGAAACCCATGGCAAACAATGTTCTTAAGTCCTTGACAACACAAGGTTTACCAGCGACATAGAATTTTCCAGTTACAAATGAGCTTTTAAAACAAATTTCCAGCAAAGTATTTTGTCATTTAACATTTTTATTCATTCAAGTGTCCAGCTGCTAGGAACCATGACCATATTATTATTAACTGTGATATTAGGTAACTAAACTATCTTTTTAAAGTTTAGATTGATATTTTTTACATGTTTAGACAGATAATACATCATTTTCAGTGTATCTTACCCTGCATCTGAGCTATTGCCACAAAGCAGAAAATCCGTTGCTCCTTCTGGGCGGTAGAAATGACCTAAAGAAAAAAAATAAATAACATGTTTACAAATGAAAGGAGGTTGGGGTTTTGGTTTTTTTTTTTTTTTGTGAGGATGAATCTATGTTCAAGTCATCAGGTTTTGAATGTTCATAATCTCCCATTAGTGTTTTCCCAACAGTGGGTTTAAATACTGGCAGAATCATATAACTGCTTGGGTTGGAAGTGACCTCAAAGATGTTTCCAAAACACCTGCAATGGGCAGGAATGCCACTTAATAGATCGGGGCCCCATGCAACCTGGCCTTGAACACTTCCAGGGATGGGGCATCCACAGCTTCTCTGGGCAACAAAATAAAAATACATTGCAAAAATAAAGTCCTAAAACAATGTCTTTTTTATACCCTAAAGATACAAAAAGAGCCTAAAAGAATTGGTTTTGTGAGGCCTTGAGAAGATCAGGGAGGGAGCAGGCAGGGAGGGAGGGATGTGCAAAGACCTTCACTCTACCTACAAGTATAACATGAAAGCTGTAATGAGGATGAAGCCTGAAACATCTCAGGAGCATACTCCTGAAAGATAAGAGGCCACTAATCCAAGTTTGAGCATGGGAAATTCTGAAATGATTTTCAAGAAAGTTTCTGTGAGAATGGTCAAGTGCTGGCACACACTGTCCAGAAGAAGCTGTGGCATCTCAATCCTTAGAGATGCTAAAAACTTGACTGGAACAAGGGATTGAGCAGTCTGCTCTAACTGGACCTGCAGCTGAGAAGCAGTTGGTCTGGACTGCGGAGATCCTGTCCAACCCACATGATTCCATGACCCTAAAACTAACCAAAGCCACTACATACATCTCTGAGTGCAGTTAAAGGAAAGAGCAATCATGTCAGCATGAGCTTGGGATGCAATATACACAAATTCCTATTCTTTGCCATCCAATTTCATTGGGTTTTTTTAATCTTTAGCCAGCAGTATAAAACAGGCTAAAGAGAACATATTATCTTGTGATGGTGTGTTGGTTTACATACACATTTTAGCAAATTTCAACAGTATTTCTTACTTTCGTCATTAATGTATGCATCCCAGTTCAATTCTGTATCATTAAAGTAAGGAACTACATGTGTTTCAAAGGCTGTTGAATTTTTTGATGGCCAGAACAGGCATTTATTCTTCAAGTTGCCCATGAACAGCTGCAGTCCTATCAGTGCAAATACACTCAGACAAAACACAGTGAGGATCATCACGTCTGAAAGCTTCTTCACAGACTGAATTAAAGCTCCAACAATAGTCTTCAGGCCTGCAAAAAGAGGCAGATTTTTATTATAATATTAAATATTTAACTAAGCTAAAATGCAATCTAACCAATCTAGTCTCCAAGACACTACTAAAGACCATGCACAGCTTAAATAAAACAGTCTTAAAACATTTTCCAAAGGAAAAGCTACCAACAAGTTTCATCATTCCTGAAAAATAATTTGAAAATATGAATGGGAATGAATGGCATACATTCCAAAGCACCTGCTCTTCAAATCAAGAGCTTTGAATTCATGCTCTCTATACATGTACACTATATCTAAAGAAAATAGTTTATTTTATTTTCTTTTTGATGCCTCTTGCTCCAAACCTTTGCCAGTATCCTATTACAATACACAACATTTGGTTCTGTAACAGCAAACAAAAAGAGACCACAATTTTATTTCAGTAGCAATTTTAATGTCTGCATTCTAATGCTTCATCTTCTGTTGGACGTGGGGTTTGGTGAAGATTGGCATCATAAGATAATAATTACATCATGCAATCCCCATGCTACTCATTATTATCTTATTCCTCTGTCAGAAATTCAACTTTTACAAAACTCTAAAATTTTCAATCCCAAATGTCTTTCATAAATATGTATATGTAACATTCACATTAAAAAGACTTAATTTTGATCCTTAATGTGGGAGAGAAAATTTGACATTATTAAATGGAGGAATATACAGGCTATGCAAATGAGTTCTTCATGCAATTGACTATTAAACTCTGAGGCTGACTGTTTTACAGAATTAGAAAAGGAAATGAAATTGAAATTAAGACAAAATTCTGAATGTTTCTGTTAAAAACATGAGTTCAGCTTCTGTGCAGTTTCAGTCAGCCTCAGTGTTTAACCTCGCTCTCACCTGGAATGACTGATATTGTTTTCAAAACTCGGAGAACTCTGAATGTTCTCAACGCTGAGACATTGCCCAGGTCCACAAACTCTGTCACATATCTGTAGTGAGGGATTCCACACACAAACACAATGACAGCACACACAAAATTAAATAGAGGTGATATAGAGTGTCTACTATTTTACACAGTTACTTCTTACCTGGAATTACAGAAATAGTTTTCAAAGCTCTCAATACTCTGAAAGTTCGAAGAGCTGAAAGATTGCCTAGGTTTACAAATTCTGTTATATACCTGTAGGATTAAATCACAGTTATTCAGAATTGAGGCAGAGCTTATACTACTTACCTGGACCTGAAATCCAGAAATCCTGGTACTTTTTTTTTTAAGGAATAAGTTAAAGACTTGCATTCATATTTTCATGTTTCAATTAAGTTTTCCCTAAGAAATTCACCCTTAAGATTTACCATTAACTGCAAATTTAAAATGAAACCTATAGACCTGCTTTTGTTTTAAAATCCTATTTTAAATTGATTTTTTTTTGTTAGTGGTATCCTCTGTACTGTGGAATAGTCCACTAATTCTGCTATGTGCTACACTACTTTAAAATATTCTAGTGGAAATACATGAAGCACAATCCAGCTACAAGTAATTTAATATGAACTAATATAAGCCAACCAAACTATTACAAGTTCAAAAAGTTTGGTTATTGTACTTAAAAAATATTATATACTTACGCAAAGGAAATGACAACAAAATCAAGCCAGTTCCAGGGGTCACGAAGGCACGTAAAATCATTTATACAGAAGCCTCTTGCAAAGACTTTTACTAGAAATTCAAAAGTATAAATTCCAGTGAAAGTGTACCTATGAGAAAACATGCAAGCAAAAGTTAGAGATTGTTGTGTTGTTCAGTGGTACACCATGAGCATACAGGAAATTGACTCAAACCCAGTAATTAGTACATGCACTGAACACAAGTTATAAACTCACATAAAGTATGACTGGTTTTCCACCATTCTTTTGTGAGATAATAGGATTATAATTTTCCATTTTGTCAGAAAAATATTTTTGCAGTTTCTAGCACATAAGATTTTTTAATTTCAGCACTAATAATGATAACCATGAATAACATGGAAAAAAATTTTGTTCAAATAACATTTGAGCATGGTTGCCACATCAGAAATAAAGTCCATGGGCAAGTAAAACCTAGTACTTACTGAAGGTGCTTTACAGTTGATCATGTAGACTTAAGAGTGATAAACAATAATCCTCAGCAGAGGGATTTTCTTTAAAGAGTGGGTGTGTCCCACAATTAGATTTTGCTACACAAAATGAAGGTGTTTTGGAGGGGCTATGGAAAGCATTTTCCACACTGAAAAGCAGTAGGTTTGGGTGGAATGACCGATTTCTTTTTTTCTTTTTTTAATGATAAAGAACAACTCAGGAAGGAAAATGCATGAAAACACTGCTTGTACGAACATTCTGAGGAAATGTATTTATCAGCATTTTGTTCAGAGAAAAAGGTTAACAATGTCACAGCTTCCTTCCTTTGCAGAGCTTGCAGGACTGTGCTGCTTTGGGATGATCAAACTCCAAACAGGAAAAAGTGGATACTGGTATTACACAAGTAAGTAAAACTGCATGGTCTGGCTCTTAATTTGCTTTTCATTTTTAAAGCATTTTAAAAATTATTAGCCTTTTTAAGTATACTTACTCTACATATTTGGCCCATTCTGGAAGATTTCTCCATGTCATTAATACACAATTTGCCAAAATAGTGAGCATAATGACCTTGTTGAACAATGTTGACTGTAGTTAAGGAACATACCCCTTTTAAAAGCCAAATTTGCATAACACAATATACAAGGAATTGACCAGGACATAAAGTACTGACAACATATATAATACAAATCAGTTTACTATCACTAGCAATGTCATAAATAATGCAAAGACATTTCACAAGAATGATGGTTATACACCTATCACAGAATCATTTAGGTTGGAAAAGACTGCTGGGGTCACCAAATTCAACTTTTGACTCTTGACTTGTCAACTAGACCATACGTGCCACATCCAGTCACTTCCTGAACACCTCCAGGGATAGTGAGTCTACCAATTCCCTTGGAAGTCAATTCCAATGCTTGACAACCTCTTTTGTGAAGAGATTCCTCCTGATGTCTAACATGGACTTCCCCTGGTGCAGCTTGAGGCCATTTCCTCTTGTCCAGTCAATGGTTACCCGGGAGAAGAGCCTGCCCCCCCCATTTGGCGACACCCTACTTCCAGCGAGTTGCAGACAGCAGTAAGGTCCCTCTGAGCCTCCTCTTGTCCAGGCTAAACACTCCCAGCTCCCTCAGCAGCTCCTCACAGCACTCACACCCTTCACCAGCGTTGCTGCCCTTCTCTGGACCTGTTCCAGCACCTCAGTGTCCTCTCTGAATTGAGGTGCCCAGAACTGGACACAGCACCCAAGGTGTGACCTCACCAGTGCTGAGTACAGGGGGACAGTCACTGTCCCAGCCTTGCTGGCCACACTGTTCCTGACACAGGCCAGGATTGCCCCTGGCTTTCTTGGCCACCTGGGCACACACTGGCTCATGTTCAGCTGCTGTCTGCCAGCACTCCAAGCCCTTTCCCACTGGGCCACTTTCCAGCCACTCTGGCCCCAGCCTGTAGCACGGAATGGGTCAATTTGAAGTCAATTTGTAGGACCCAGCACTTGGTCACATTGAACCTCATGCTCTTGGTCTGGCCCATCCATCCACCCTGTCCAGGTCCCTCCACTTTTCCTGCCCTCCAGCAGATCAACACTCTCACACAACTTGGTGATATCGACAAACTTACCAAGGGTACACTCATCCCCTTCATCCAGATCATCCATAAAGATTTTAGACAGGGTTGGGTTCAATACTGCATCTTAGGGAACTCTACTAATGACTTCTCTTCTGAATTTAATCACCAGATTAAGTGACTAATCTTAGCCCAGACTGATTTTGAAAGAATAATTTTTTTTTGGCAGGAACACTTTCAAACACTAAATCAAAACTCCTAGTGTTAACATTAGTAATATTAATCAGTAACCATTTTTAACAAACCACTTGAAAAGGATATGAATGAACCAAGATCTTAATAGCTAGTCTTCTAGTGATATTGAAAGGAGATAAAAGGTACAAGGCAGGTGTGGCACTGAACCTGTGGATTGTCTTCGCTTTATCCAGTACTATAAATGTCTTTAAAAATACAGACAAAAAGGGCATGAGGGTAGTGGGGTTAGGAAATTAAGGATTTTAGAAACCTTGTCATAGTACAGGCTGCTTACACACATTTAAGTAGCTAAATTTATTTTCAGTAGAATTGCAGAAGGAAATCACAGATTCTAAATTTTCATATGAGCAAAGAAAATGCTACACCACACATTCTTTGTCTCTGTGCTCTTAAAATCTGCATTTCAGATTTTCTAGTATTAAGTAATTACATTAAAACTATAATTAAAAATATGACTTTTTACATTTAAAGAAGCTCTTTTCCTTGCATTTCAGAACAAAATTGGCAATGCAAAACAAAGCACCTAAGTAACCATTTTTGGGACCTCACAAAGAACTATTTAAACATTCCAGCATGTTAAAACTGCTTTTGGGGGAGACATGCTTCACTGTTTAAATCCTTGGCTTTATTGCTTGTGCAACCGCTACTACCATAAATGTAATAATTTTTTATTTTAAATAGGAGACACAATGAAATGTTCATCTAATGAAATCTTAATTCAATCTACATTTAATGATTATTCTCCCAAAATCTATAATCTGGAAATCAGCAGATTATAACACTGAATATTTCTGTTTTCCAATGACATTTAACTATAAAAGACACAGGTCATTTGTCAATAGTGTTTGTGAAGTTAAGAGAACAAAAACTAAAACAACTAAAAAATCTGCATGATTATTAGTCTTCAACATTTTATACTAGAAAAAACCTGCTTTAATTAGGTTGTTATTACTGATATAATACAGCTCTTTTGTTAAATTCTTATCTTGCAAGACACTATTTTGTTGATTATTGAGTACTTAATTTCAAAAACCTGTTCTATGGTTTTAATTCAACAAGCCTTTTATTTATTACACAATAAAACAGCCACTTGCTGCTTATTTTTTACTGCCTTTTTAATGTAAACTCAGTTTTGTATTCCTTCTTGACATCATTTCACTTCACATGCATATATAAAAATAACCTTCCTTCATCTGCACTTGCCAAAGTAAACACCTTGCTCTTTTCTTCCTTTTTATCAGTATATCTATAAATGAAACTGAATCAGTATATATCAAGTTAGATTTTGTCTTTGCCTGTAACACAGATCCAATACTGAAACACAAAAACTGGTTTAGTCTTTAATTTTTTTTTTTTTTAATTTTGTAAAACAAATATTTTTATGATATTTTCAGGAATGTTTGACAGTGATTGTTCTGTCATAAGACTGAGTGAGGATTTTGTCTAAACATGTCTGTAATAAACTAAATCTCAGGCATCATGTTTCTTACAAAAAACCAGAGAGCAGCCACAGAGATGGAAAGTTTTCAAATGGTTCAGCATTAAATCAGATCTGCAGAGATTACAGGACATTTAAAATAAAATCCATTAACTAAAATACCATAATATGAGACATTAAAAGAAAAGTGTCTTTTCTTTTCTCTTTTTAAAAAGCACAACTTTACCAAGAGTTACAGTTGTCTTTATAGAGAAATCAAAATAACTAACATGATAGCACCTACTGCATAATACTTCCAACCAGTGCCTCTGACCAACTCCCCAGCAGAGCATTTATCAGGTTATAGTAAAACAGGAGTATCTAATTACATTCTTAGTACAAAACACTTACTTTTTTATTGATGTAGTATGGGTCCAGGTCCTCCAGGGGTTCACACACCATTCCTGGAGGAATATCACCATAAATAAATGGCAGTGTCTTCCCTGCCTCTAAGTCATTATTTGGCCCTAGGTGATCTGCTTCATGACCAGCATCATCTGCAGGCTCCTCTTGGTGGCAATGAAATTTTTCATCAGCAATACGTTTTTCAATGGCTGCAAGAGATTCTTCAGTGAAATAGAAGAAGCTGTCAGGTCCTGGTGGTACCAGCATTGCCTGCGCCATCTTCTCATTCTGCAAATTTTAAATGCTTTTAGGCTCTTGTGTAAGAAGATCCTAGGAGGACATGTAGGAGAAAGAAAGAAAAAACAGAAGATCACACCACCAACAAAATCCCCAAACAGAAGCTTTTGGCATAGTCAGAATCTGCCTCTTTTCTCTTTACAAAGCCCTGTAGCAAGAAATATTTCAATTAACAGTCAGATATTTAATAGAAAAGTAGCTACCCTAGGCAAAGAGATAGAAGTTAAGAAGTAAAGAAAAAAAGAAAAAAGGAAAAAGAAAAAAGAGATCAAATTCTCTTACAGTTTGTCAACTCAGGTTAATATCTCAAACAAAAGAAGAAGAAGAAAAAAATCTAACTTTCCCTGGCCTAACATTAAGTTACATTATTGTGAAAAAGTAGAAAGTGTTTCAGCACAGCTAATTATTGCAGTCAATGGTCACAACCTCTACCACACAGATCTATGCATTTTTGGCACAACATCTTAAAAAATCTTGCTTTTATATTACAAAAGTAGAAAGAAAAAACATGCTATTTTTATTACTGTCAATTTCTTTTGGCAACATTGCTCCATCTGGTGGCTTGTACTATGACTGCCAAACAAATGTTTATATTATACTATCAGGTACTACACAAACACATTCTATCTATAAAGCCATATTCACAGGCAGAAAGCAACTGGCCTGAAATTCAGTCTTTCCCTTTCAGGCTTTCTGATTCATATCTACCTGATTTTTAGCTGTAACTTTGATAGTGCTATCCCTCTGTAATTAAGGAAGTTATGATGGATGAAGTGTTTTAGATTTATACAAAAAGCACAGCACAATCAAAAGTAAAGTACTCTCTTTGAGACCAAGGTTATTTTCAAAGTACTTAAAAATAAGAAATTCATTAAATTCATTAATTGATCATTTCTTTCTAGGTTATATTTTCCACAGTGAGTGTACAGTTAGCACCTAAGGGTGCAGTATCTTCAGAATAAACCGATTTTTTTGAACAGACACAAGATGGAGTCCAGTCCCACTTGCTGACAGTCATTAAGTGTTGTGGCCTTTGTCAACACAACATTGTGGTGAGTTGACCTTGGCTGGCTGCTCTCCCACTCACGCTCCACAAAAGGAACTGCACAGGGGAGAATGAAGTGAAAAACCCCAGGTATTAAAATAAAGACAAGCAGATCATTTACAAATTACTCTAATGGGCAAAATAGACTCACTTCAGGAAAAATAACTTACTGCCAATTAAAACAGAATTGGAAGGTAAAAAACATAAATCCTAGAAGAATTTTCCCTCTGCCTCCTTGCTCCAACAGTGTGAACTTCACTGTTCACACTCAACTCCTACACCTCCACCCCCAACAAGAGGCATGGGGAGGGTGGGGAATGGGGCTGGCATCAGATCATTGCTGCTCTTTGCCACTCCTTCCTCCTGTTTTTCCCTTGGTCCATCATGTGTCCCTCACACAGGCTGTGAAGCTTTGGGATAAAGTTGCTCCAGCGTGGCCTTTGCAGTGCCTCTCCCTGAAGGAACATTCACTTTCTCCAGGCTGGAGTCCCCCAGGGCTGCAGGCTGGGTATCTGCTCTGGCACTGTCCTCCCCTATGGACTGCAGGGAAACCCCTGCTGCAGCATGGCCTGTCCCACAGCTTCCAGGGAGCTTCTGGAACCTGCAGCCCTCCTTGCACTCCTGTTTCCCTGGCCCTGGAGGCAGAGCTGTTTCTCACAGCCTCTCACAGAGTGCTCCTCACACTGACCTGTGCCATTTTGCTCTTTTCCAGGTGTGTTTTCCCATCCTGCCTGAGCTGGGCACAGGGCAGCCCTGGGCTCTCCACTCAGGGCCTGCCTGGCAGCCCTGAAACACCACGGCCACTGCTCGGAGTCACCACAGGCCTCAGTGTCAAAAACACAGGCCTCACTGGAAAAAACTTAAAACAGATTGAGGTGATGGCAAATGCTATAGGTTCCTGCCACCACAAAAGCCACAGAGTGAGCCAGTTCTCCTGACCCCAGTGTGTGCAGGGAAGATGCACTGAGAAGGAAAAATACTGATGGAAAATACTGATGGCAGACTTTTTCAGGAAGTCTAACAGCTCCAAAGTCAAATAACCCATGACACAGCAAATCCCAGATAGCTGCCTCTTCTATGCCAACTTAATGCCTCTTCTAGGTCAACTTAATGTTAGTTGAGGAAATTGTCTATTTCTAACAATTTTACAGCACGAATTGCCATGGACAGACGGACAACCCATGATGCAAGCCATCTCCTCTTCAAAATTAGTCAGTTGAGGTTATGGACAGGCTTCAAATCCCTGCTTTTTCAGCTGAGCCACAACAGGTTCCAAGGCTTTGGCACATACCACAATAGACACAAAAAGAGTGGGGGGGCTCTTTATACTGACTACTAAAGAGGTGAGAAATTTCCTTATAAATAATTATAGAAATCAGACATTTTTTATGTCACCTGCTAAGCACTTTAAGAAAACAAAGACAGTTTTTTTCTCTGGAAAAGAAAGCCTGAGAACGCCAAGTCTTTCCTTATCTATTTAAAAATGCCTCATCTCACCTGTTCCATCTTAAAGCGATTCACCATTTTCAAATGCAGGATTTGACTGTTGTTTAGCCTTTTGGGGCAAATTGTTCTCAAATCCTTAGCACCAGTGAACCTGAAGATCTGACCAGTCCTGCTTGGACTGAGAACCAGCTGTGTCCCAAAAGGTACTTTTCCTTTAGAAGCTACTTTTCCTTTACTGGCTCTAAACCTTCACCAGCAAAAAGGGAGAGAGATCTGTCTTCCAAAGAAGAACACCAGGATCTCTTTCCTTCAGCTTAATTTTCACCTAAGAACTAAGGTAACACAAATATTACTTGGTACCTTTAGGTCATTTATTTAGCTTACAACTCTGGGTTTGTTTTTTGTTTTATAAAATGGAGGGGTAGGTAATATCTGCTTCTTCATTTGTAAGCTGAAAATTCAGGAAAATAATTTCATTAGTGCAAGCAGCTGAGTCTTTATAATTTTTTTTTTTGAAGTCAAGGAAAGTTCCTACTAGTAGGGGCTTCCTCCTACAACAAGGTGGTAGCAGTATTAACTTAAAGTAGTATGTTTTTCCTAAAAAAAAAAAGTCTGTAACATATAGGAATGAATTTTTTTACCAGTTTTACATGTATTGTAACAGATTCTGAGGACAGCACTTGTAGTAAAATTTGTATTTCATGAATGATGCAAAGAGTTAATGCCATTGTAAGTAGTCCACACACACTCAGTTATTATCTAAACTGGTTAAATGGTTGCACAAAGTCTTTTAGAGGCTGAAGAGACAAAAAAGCAAGATCGACAGCTATTAGACCAATTTCTACCTTATAACCAAATAGAACAGGAGCTTTACAAATGGTGCTGCCCTGTCCCAGGAATGGTGCTCTTTACAGGCTGAATAAAATACAAGCTTTTCAGCACAGCTACACACCACTGACCAGTCTACTATGCCTATGAACAAGTAGGAGTACACTTGGGGGCAGTCTAAGAAATACTTAAGCAACTTTGTGTTTCAGTGATTATCTTCAGAAGCAAACATGTCAACAACCAAAACCAACCAACAAAACAAAACAAAACAAAAAAAAAAAGAAAAAAAGGGAGATACTGGATGAGAATGTAAATATATAACGTAACATTCAGCTAGTCTTTTAGAGGACCTTTAGATGGATAATCATTCTACAAAACTTGAAAAACAGTCTTCTAGTCAATGTTAGGAATATAGACTTGGAAAGTGATGAATGTGATGCCCACAGAAACTACTCAAATCAAACATATACTTGAAAATGTCACTAACTGTCATGTCTGTCTATGCATTTTGTCTAAATTTACTCTTTAAAGGTTTATAATGCGTAAAACTAAAAGTTCATGACTGTTCATTTTAGCAAATACCACTACAGCCTTATGGCAGTTTTATTGCAGTGGTTATCAGAATGAAAGCCAACCCTTCCCCTTGCATGTTCATATTCTCCTGGTTTATTCAGCAAGGCTGAAGTGGGACCCTCAGGGCTGAGATGAACTCCAGCATTTCTCTCTAGAGACACCACAGCCAATGTCTCCAGCACAATTCCCAATGTTAACACAAAACACAAAAAAAGTTATTTTCCGCTACATGACAATCTCTTCTGTGAATGCCTCATTCTAGCAGCTTAATCACAGCCCATGCTTGGAAAAAAACCCCACACCTATTAAATGCTTCTTGAGTTTCAGTTCAGTGACTAGTTCCTTTTCATGGCTTTCTTTAAGTACTGCAAATATAAAAATGTTGCAGCACTGTGGAAGAAAGTGATGCTGCTTATACTGTTATCTCATGAAAATCACTTTACCCAAGAAAGAAATGGAATGAAAAAGAAAAAACAGACAAAGCAGGATGGATTGGTTTAATGACTTAAATGTGTCTCTTTCCTGCAATTTTGACAGCATTCATATTACAAACTAAGGCAAAAACCATCAAATCAGAAAACCATATTTAATGTGAATCCTGAAGAAACTGTTACCCTTCCATCCAAAAATCACACAAAGGTCCTTTTGAAAGCCCAATATTAAAAAAACCAACATCAGTAAAAAAAAACCCCAACACATAAATCCCCATTTTCTCAGCTTACTGTTAAAAAACAGGCTTCTAATCTTTCATGGCTACATTGTGCATGTGAGGCTGATTGGAGACTGTCCATCAAGCAGGACAGAAAATTCAAATTGCAAATGAAAGATTACAGGAAACAGCTAAAAACCACAGACTCTGTAGCAGCATGGTACTAGGAGGAAGCTCCTGGGGCAGGAATGAGCCAGTTCAAAACCTGATACTAATATTATCATAAATATATTCTTATGGAATATGGTTGAGTGAGCAAGAAAAATTTTTAAAATATCTTTTAGAAAATATTCTTAATACATTTACAAAGAAAAGCATCAGGGTCATTTAGATCAAGTCAGGAGTTTTAAGCTTGTGTCCAGGATATGAAAAAAAGCACAAATTTATAGTTTTTATTGTTTCCATATATATAAAAATTAAAAAAATACATATATATTTATTTCTATATATTACTTTTAATATTTGCAAAAATAATGGTCAAGCTTAAAACCTAAGCCAGCAACAAGCCCTCAATACTTACAAAATGTGTTTCTCTAACACATTTTGTAAGTATTTGCATTCTTCAAATGCAGAAATAGGACATCTGCTCTTCCTACTATATATTCTACAACATAATGACCAATTTTTTACAGTATTGTTTCCAATGTTCTCTCTGCTATGGTATATTTCATAGTGTTATTTGAGTAACTTGAATCAAATTTTCAGTGTACTAAAGAAACCATACTACTGAAATTACTATGCCTCAAAAAACATCTTAGCCTCACATGTATTGAAATTTCATTAAAAATAAGTTAGTCAGGTAAAGATGTTCAGTGAATTTCACTTAGGCAAGTGATCAAATCTGACGAGTCATAAACAAATTTACAGATTTTTTTTTCACTATGCTCTTTTTTGTGCATTTCTATATATTAAAAAAAAGGTGTTTTTTTTCCATGGACATTTAATTCTACTATATAAATTAAGACTTACTCTATTAACTAATATAATGTCATTGAGCAGTGATGCAGCCTTCAATTTCTACAGAAAATAAGCTGGGTTCATTACTGCTACGTCAATTGCACAATTGTGTGAAATTCACAATCTGTGACTGCAAAACATGCAGGAGGCTATAAGACAAATCCAGAAAATTCTTAGGACGGTAGTTTAATCTAGAAAGCATCTGCTCCTAAACATCAATAAGAACTAAAAGGTTTCTGAATTATTTATTGCTTTGAGACTGAATAGATTAGACCTATGCTATATTTCACCCCTGGTGCTTCTCAACAAAAGACTGTGCTAATGCAATAGCACTAAGTGGGAGAGCTGATTTTTTACGGAAAATTTTTACCATGTCATTCTTTTGTCTGTAAGTCACTTCATTCTCTATACCTTGTCCATGAAAATAATTTTAAAACCAAAGTAAATGCTTATGGAGGACAAAATTAATTTCTGTTCAGTTTAATGGATTCTACTCCTTATATGAAAATTGCCTTACATTACCTCTAATTCTTCCAAAGGTGTTCTTTACTAGATATTTTCGATTCGATAGCCTCTGATTTCAATTTATGAACTTACGGTAATACACGGAAGACATAAAAAATATTAATATTGCAGGAATGAAAAATGCTTAAAAGATACAGGATGCTACAGCTGATCTTCAAAAATAAGAATTCTCTAATATAAGCCCATTTTTAGAATCTGCAGCCACTTAGAGGCAGATCTAAAGTTTGTCTTTCCTTTATGTCAGAAAATGCATTAATTTGGTGCAGATCTAGGAAATTCAGTCCTCACAAACAAGCAATTCAATCCCCATGTATCAAGCAGCCACTTTGGAACAGAGCCAATACACAGCAAATAAAAAACCATAAGAGATTTTACTACTGGCAAGGCATGGAAGAACTGTGAAAAACATGCTACATTGCCACAAATGTGATATGCACATACGATATTTCTGTTATTTGCATGACTACTTGGACATTTTTCCTGAGCAGAGGAACACTGCTCAAAACATCAAGACCCTGCTTCTGGTTAGGTCCAAATAAGTCATGTAGCCAACTCTCTGCATAATAAGCCTAATTTAAAGCTTCCTCAGTCTGTTAACTCCTCTTACAATCCAAAGACAAGTTTATATCAGATTTGTCCCCACACTAAGGCTGTTATTCATTTCAATAGCCCATCAGTGCTTCTTGCTTTGGTGTATTTATAATAAAAAATCTTCTCAGAATTTTCATTTGGTGACATCAGCTCAGTGAACCTACTGATGTCAAGTCTTCTCCCTCAAATTTTTGAATACTTTTTTTTCCTTTTGGCAAATAGGAGAACACAGGAAAAAAGAATGTGGGGGGGATGAGGGGCCGGGGGAGGTAGAAAGCAACTCTCCCACCAAAGTAAACACACAGAATGGGAAAACTGGCTGCAGAATGTAAAAGAGATAAAGCAAGGAGTACAGCCAGACCTCTTTCCATTCCTCTTCCTGGCCAGACAGGCTCCCTATATCTCATTTAATGGCCTCATTAGTGTAATCTGAGTCTACTTTCTGTGCTGGTCTGATTTCCTAGAAAGACTCAGCTACTGTTCTGCAAATGGATACAGGCTGGGATGATTGGTAAAACCTGGCTCAGTTTATAGCAATGTGGGGGCAAAATTCCCACATCCATTCTAGGGCGTCCTGCAAACACACCAAAAGGGGAAAATGGCATCAGCATACATCAACACAGAGATTTATGGTAGAATGTTCTTGAAAAGGTTCACCTGTTAAGCTCAAAAAGAATTTTGCTCCTTCTAGTATATGACTGAATTTTTGTATGTATCAGAAAAAAATTGTTTACTAATGACATCTATTAAAAAAGCCACAGAAGCAGAATAAGCCTGTAAAACTGAAATGAGAGTTCAATACCAATTACTCTGTTTTTCAAAAGCCTGAAACACAATGCTCTGTTAGTACAAGAGAATTTCAGGCTGTCAGCCTGACTGACAAAGTTCACCATCTGCTTCCCAATGAACATGAGAGCATGAGAAGGAAAGCAAGAATATGCTAGAATACTTGACACCATGGTGGCATTCAAAAGTACATTAGTTCATTTTTTGGTTGATTTGGTTTTTGTTTTAGTGGAGATTCAATTATTTATAAAGAAAAGCTTTTTTAGTGCCAATTGCCATGTGCTCTGGGATGACTCTACTTGAGCAGGGAAGTTGGACATGATGACCCACTGTGGTCCCTTCCAACCTGATCTATTCTGTGATTCTGT